CCAGATATTTGCAACATAATAATAATAATAAAGGATAACAAGGTTTCAAACCAATTTAGAACTGTTGCCGAAAGTCAGACCCAGTTTTCCAGTCGGTCTAGTAACTAACACCGAGATGTTTCCACTGTCTGTGTTTAAGTGGATGTCATTGAAGACTTTAACAACATCAGTCTCAGTGCTGTGGTGCCTGACTAGATCACATCGAAACAATTAATTAAATCCCAAAAAAGAGAAGTAGTTGTTCTGCAATGATATTTGTGATCTCTTTTGATCCCTCTAAAAATGCTTAATAAATATATTTTTTCATTATTATTACAAAAGTGACATTTAATGCACTCAAGAGTTCCATATTCCAGCAGTTAAAGCAGTAAATCAACAAGATCTTACAACTTTTACAGAGAAAATGTGTCCTGAAGGATGGAGGAAGTCTGGTTGTTCCTGTTATCTCCTCTCTACTGAGAAAGCTTCCTGGGAACAAAGCAGACAGCACTGCACAGCCAGAGGAGCAGATCTGGTGATCGTAGACAGTTATGAAGAACAGGTAATGTGTGCTGCTTTAACACTTGTGATTGTATAACCCCCTGCTTTTATCAATCAATGTTTTTATTGTACATATAGTAGCACATTTGCGTATCAGCTATAATGATTATGTTACAACAATGGTGTTAATTACATATTTCTGAGCTAGTAAAAAGGGAATAGTAGCTGAATGTTGATGTCCATCCCTGTAAACTGCATTTGTGAACAGGAATTCATCACCAGCATGATCAATAAACAAACTTGGATTGGTTTGAATGACACAAATCAAGAAGGGACCTGGAAATGGGTCGATGGAACTCCACTGACTCTGACGTAAGGCATACAGAACATATTCATGTATTTTGGTGTAGCTGCATCCTACTGATGTATATCGGTGTTTTTTTGTATGACTGTCCAAAAATGTATTAATTATTATCAATTTCAGAATGAACTAACATTTTAACATTCATTGCAAATAAAGCTGCTCTGGTGGCAATAGAGAGAATAATTTAACCACTGCTACTTTGAGAATAAAAATGAGAAATGGTAAAGCGTCTTTCTTTTCTTGAAACAGCAATTCGCCCTAAAATAGAGTAAAGGCGATGAAAGTAAATGAGAAGATTTCGCAAGAAAAAGGGTTGAGCTTTGGGTGTGAATGTGTTATAAGCAGTAGGCTATAAGCTGTGGGTTATTACATAGGGAAATACATAAAGCAGCTTTAATTATGTGTTGGCCACATGTGGCAGCTGTTTTTTTAGCCTCAATTGGAATGGCCTTTAGTGTGTTAATGTGTCCGAATGTTGTCTTTCGCTGTGTGTTTTAATAGGTAAATGCTATATATGAAATGTATATGAAAAGCAATCTAAAACAGAATGCATTACATCTATCACATTTGTGGGAGGATCCTGAAAATCAACTTTCCTATTACTTCCTATAGGTACTGGGGATCGACCTTTGATAATGGCGGTGCAGCGCTTGGTGAAGAGGACTGTGCAAGTCTTGTAGATGGAAGGGAAATCAGAAAAAACTGGAATGATCTGCGGTGTACTAGCCGTCTGCAATGGATCTGTGAAAAAAATGCTTAACTTGTGGCTGTGAGGCAGTGGGTTTGTCTTCAAATAGGATGGCTGTGGGTTCAACCCCAGCTCATGCCATCAATATGTTAATGTATCCCACTTAACCCCAAATTGCTCTCTTGGCCAATGTGTGAATGTTAGCTTCCTTAAGCAGCTGGCACTTTGTTTGGCTGCCTCTGCGTATGAATATGTGTAAATGCTATATATACAATATGCTTTAAGGAGTTATAAAGACTGGATAAGTGCTATATAAAATGCGGCCAATTACCAAAACATTTGTTAATACTTTTACACTACACTTGTTTTACACCTTTAAAAGTGTTATTGTATGTGATCTCAGTGCTGCATTTGACACTGTTGACCACAACATATTACTAGACCGACTGGAAAACTGGTTGGGACTTTTGGCAACAGTTCTTAATTTGTTTGAATTAAAGGACAGAAAAAACTATCTATTGTTTTTACTTGTTCTTGTTTTATGGTGTGTGAGCTGTGCTGTGTAGTTATTTTGTATGTTTTGTTTTGTTTATTTGACTGTACAGCACTTTGGTCTGGAGGTTTAAAGTGCTTTCTAAATAAAGCTGTATTGTAATGATTAATTTCAGTTCTGCAATTTTAATCTCCAATCAGCAGCTTTGCTGTCAAATGTGTAACCTAATTCTGTTCAC